TGTATTCAACAGTTTTTATGATGATTTGATAAATAAAAGTCTGTTCTTAAAGAGGTTTTTATAAACCACTGAGAAGAGTATTCTCAAACCCTAAGAGCTTTTAATTAAGCACTGTGAAGAGTATTCACAAACCCTAGTTTCCGAGTTTTCTTAGAATCAACGGATCTAGTTCTATCCCTAGAAGCTTCCGCTACATCAGCATGTCTGCATGCATGAGAGATTAAAGAAATACAAACTTATTATTTATGGTCTTTTTTATTAAAGCAAGCTTGCACATGAAAGATCAGAAAGAAACAAGGCGTAAGCTTACAAACATTGTTTAAAAAAAAAAACTTACAAACATTTATATATGACTACAGACTGCGTGCATGAAGGACCATTAGTTGATCAACACACACATGTTTCAAATTTATTGCAAACAAAAATAAAAATACGTTGAAGATGCTGAGAAAGCTTTATGGCCTTATGGGTGTATTCTCTCTTTCACTCTATGTTTCTCTTATTATGGATTCCGTGTTGACTTTGTCTTCTTTGCACATCGTGTTCACCTGCAAAGTGTATACTATACGATATAAATATTCTCATGCATGCAACCATGCATATAGCCTTTTTACTTGTTAACTTAATGAGGTGTGTAGATGTAAGTATTGGGAGATTTATTACCGTGACGGAGAACTCTAATAGTGGTATGGAGGAGGAGGAGATTTGTAGAGGTAGGGATGGTGTGGGGGAGAGTAGTGGTGAACTGGAGGAGGAGGAGGTGATTTATATACGTACTTTTCCTTTGGTGGTGGTGGGGAATGGTAGACCGGAGGGGGAGAGTAGTGCTTCACTGGAGGAGGTGGGGATTTGTATACGTACTTTGGTGGTGGTGGGGAATGGTAAACCGGAGGGGGAGAGTAGTGCTTCACCGGAGGAGGAGGGGATTTGTATACATACTTTGGTGGTGGTGGGGAATGGTAAACTGGAGGAGGAGAGTAGTGCACAACCGGAGGAGGAGGAGACTTGTACACATAGTGTTTCTTTGGTGGTGGTGGGGAGTGGTAAACCGGAGGGGGAGAGTAGTGCTTCACTGGAGGAGGAGGGGATTTGTATACGTACTTTGGTGGTGGTGGGGAATGGTAAACCGGAGGAGGTGAGTAGTGTTTAACCGGAGGAGGAGGAGATTTGTATACGTAATGTTTCTTGGGTGGTGGTGGTGAGTGGTAGACTGGTGGGGGAGAGTAGTGCTTAACTGGTGGGGGTGGAGATTTGTACACGTAGTCCTTCTTGGGAGGTGGTGGAGAGTGGTAAACCGGGGGAGGAGAATAGTGTTTAACCGGAGGAGGAGGGGACTTGTAAACATAGTGTTTCTTTGGTGGTGGTGGAGAGTGGTAAACCGGTGGTGGAGAGTAGTGCTTAACTGGCGGAGGTGGAGATTTGTATTCGTAGTGTTTCTTAGGTGGTGGTGGAGAATGATAAACCGGAGGAGGAGAGTAGTGCTTAACCGGAGGAGGTGGTGATTTGTATTCGTAGTGCTTAACAGGTGGTGGAGGAGATGAATAGAGGTAGTTAGCGGTTGATTGAGATGCAAAGCTGAGAGAGATTGTTAAAACAAGCAAAGTTGCTGCTAAAGAGGCCATTGGAGACCCCATTGATTGTTTTGTTGCTTTGGTTTATGCTCTTAAGAGTCTCCCCTTCACACCCTTTATATAGCTGTTTCCGTTTTCACCTTTTACACTTTGATACCTCATTGTAAAATTGTAAATTAAGTCATGTGAAAAGTACAAGCAATTATGTAGTACACCAAACAAATATAATATTGTAGAGAAAGAAGTGGTATTGGTCTCTCCGACACACTATACTAATAATATTTTTGCCGTCGATAATTGACATGTTCCATGTTCGAACAACGTATCGAATCTCATGATTTTCTTAATATAACGTTAGATCTAGTCTTTTTTCTGAAATGTCACGATTTTTGTTATGGTCCTTTTGATAAATTACTTGAAAGCAATTCTACAATATCACAAAAGAATGTAAATAATGATTAAAAAAAACATCGAGCAGAAAAAGAGATGACCGGGTATAGATTTCTGTTCCTATACAAGATGTTTCACGTTTGTAGATCTTTGATGCAAAACATGTAGACCAGCTAATTTGATTTCAAAATTATATAGAAAACAAAATACGGTCGAGACCAGTACTGCTTTCGAATCTATCGATCACGTATATTACTTAACAAAGTTATTATCTTGTCTTCCCTTTCTACCTTTCTTGTTAGGTTACATGCATCTTTTTTGTTAAAGTGCATATGAATCTTTTCTGATATTTTGTTCTTGGTTCCTTATACAAGTCTTTAGACTATGATTAACCCGAAATTCTTAGGGTGAGGTTTTTATCGGAAGTTAAGAAATAGTTTTTTAACTTTTGCTAAGAATCCCACCCTAAAAACCTCGGATTAATCGTGCTCTTATAAACGATGGGAAACGACTCACTTTACATTTAATACGTTGGATAAAAGCCTTTGCAAGATTCATTTTGAGTACTCTAGGTTAATTATATAATCTGTTAATTAAATTCTTTTTTTTTTAATTTTGTTGAAGTTCGAGTATGATCTTCCTAATGCACAAATGGTTTTCGGCTATAAACCAGCTGCATCGTTTTATAGATATGATAGTATAGGTCAATAATCACATACAGCTAAATTTAGCTAAAAGGGTTGTTATCGAATTCACCTACTTTCTACTGGTGACTGGTCAAAGATGGTTACCACAATTTTCACTAAGATTACAAAATGTTATCAATCCAAATTCAGTATAAATAATATCAACTCAACGTAAAAGTTATTCATCTGTAGTCAAAATGCACACTGTATGCCAACAATATTGCCCTTAATGAACATGTTATGTAAGTCTGTTTCATTTGGACGTATCCTAGGTATTATGATTTAGTTCTGAGTTTTTACCTAGAAGATACTACTACTGATAACATTGTTTTCCATCTAGTGGACGTATATAGACTAATAATGAACCTATAAACCAACATTAAATGACATAACATGTTCATCGAAACCTTGAACTTACATCATTTTCTAAAGTCGTTTAGGCATATGTAAGTTTTGATTTTTAATCCATACATCTTTAAATAAGGAAGTGTATTAAAAAGCATATATGAATAAAAACAAATAACGCGTTGACTCAAGGCGGCCAGTTTGAAATATGGAAGGAACATAAGAGAAGAAGGTGGTCTATCATACACACGAATATCGTTCCTGGCGGTGAGAATGATTCTAAAATTTAGATTTGGAGTTTTATCTCTCATTTTCTTTGTTTAACTTTAGAACACGTTTCTTGCCCTCTAAACTTCTTTTTAACACAAACTTATTTCCAATTAAAACTTAACTCTTTCAACTATAATAGAGAGAGAGAATTTTGCAACATTTTCTGACTAAAACCATAACAACACTAAGAACATATTTATCGCAGAAACGTGCGTTCAATTTTTATTTTATTTTAGTTTTTTTTTAAATGAAAATAAAAATGATAATCATCGCGGGTCGTCACGTGTTATGGAGCCCACAAAACAGTGCAAAAAACCAACAATACACGTTCCTTATTTCATGACAAAAGACAACATTTTTTTTTTCTTTTTCAAGGGATCTACCTCATTTTTTTTTCACCTAAAAACCCTCCTAACTACCTCAATAAAGATGTTCTAACAAACATAAGGATGATAGGTCTTCGTAAGAAATGGATAGCGAATTTGAATCTAGACTTAAACGTGTTGATAAAGTTTTCACGATAAAGTCGGAAAACTGAAAAATAATCACATAAAATAGTGACGTTGATATATACTTCTTCTGTTTCATTTTAATTGTCATTCTACGTTTTTGCACACAGATTAAGGAAATATTTAATTTTACATATTTTCAAGAAAAAAAAACACAATTACCTACATATCTAACCATTTTTCAACCAATAGAAAAATAGAATATCATACTCCTTCCGTTTCAAATTATATGTCATTCTAGAATAAAATTTTCGTTTCAAAATAAGTGTCATTTTATAATTTCAATGCAAAATTTATTGATTTTAAATGTTATTCAATTGTTTCATTGGTTGAAAAGTGGTTAGGTGTATAGGTAATTGTGTTTTTATTTTGAAAATATGTAAAATTAATTGTTTTCTTAATCTGTGTGCAAAACTCTAGAATGACAATTAAATTGAAGCGGAGGGAGTATAAAACTAATAAATTTTGTCTTGAAACTTGGAAACAATACTTATTTTGAAACAAAATTTTTTCTCCAAATTGACAATTAATTCGAAACGGAGGGAGTAACGTTTTTTGCCCTCGAAACTATTTTTAACTATATACAATGAAATATGCAAGAGCAAGACAAGAAAACATTGATATATAAGTTTTAACTAACATAGGACGTAAAAAAGAGTTATTATAACCGATCCTTTCTGAATATGAGTTAGGATGACAATGTACTCAAATGTTCATATGCTGTCAAACTAACCAAATTAATAGATTAATAAATGAAACTTGGTGAAGAAAAAAGATAATAGAAACAAATCTAGATGACAAAATTTGAATTATTTTAATCGAATTATAGTAACCAGCTGGTTAAGTCTTAGACATGCTAACAACTTCTTCGCATTTCTTTAACATATCCTTGAAAGCTGACTTTCTTGGTGAGACGTTAACGAATTGCAAAAATAATCACCGTAATACTGTTTATGTCAATTGTATAAGTAACACGACAATAATTACCTTTGATGATTCTATTTTTATCCACTTCGGAAGAAGATAACATTGAAGTAATAATGGTTACGCATTGTCTAGGTGAGTAGAGATGGCAATTGGACTCTTCCGTTTCGTCCCGTTCTGGACTACTGCGGATTCGTCTTCTAGCGGAACGTAGCAGGCTTGTCACGCGCGAGGATGCAATTTTGAAAACATTGATCCAATCCCGTACCGTATTTTTTATAGGTCTTCGCGGACCATCCCGTGAGACATGTGACAATATGCGCAGCTGAACGATTCAGACCCTTCCGAAACGCTTTAGGCTATTTTAGGAAATAGTTCAAGTCATCGATTCAACTTAACATAATTCATCAATCATTGATTGGCTTATTTTTTTATTTAAAACAATAATTGTAATTATTTATATCACACCCATAACATATTAACTTACAAAGTAAAAATAATTGCAGAAAATATTTTTCATTATCTTATAACTCATAAGTACATAACCAATGTTGTAATTTGCTGAATCCAAAAATTAAATTAAATGAAACACTAAATCAAAAATTTTAATTCCAAATTATATAAAAAAGAAACCAAATCAAAACACTACTAAAACTCGAATTGTCATCGCTGGAGCTGTAGTCGTTATCACCGGAGCTCGAATCATTATTACCGAAGCTCAAATCATCATCATCGTCCGAGCTCCTTACGTTTTCTCAAGGGAAGTCACATGAATCGTCTTCTTCTCAATTATTCTCTCGTTTTTTCTAGGTAAAACACAAAATAAAGAAAAAAATGCGGATCCTTGTAATCCTGCGGGATTCGTTTCGGCCCATCCCGCAAAAGATCTAGTCCCGCAAAAACCCATTCCGTAAGGTCCGTAAATTTGCAAACCTAGAAAATCTCGTCCTAATACCGTCCCGCGACAGTTCTTTACGGACTAGGCCCGCGATACAGATCCATAATTGTCATCTATATAAGTGAGCATTCCATATGAGAACATTTTAAAGACCTTACGATATAAAATCAGTTGTTTATCCACTTATACAGCGTTAATATTAAGAACGTACGTACTTCTTTAACGTGTTCAGTATTTCCTAGGGTAAATTCGAATTTCATTTTCATTTGTTTCGCTTTTTATATATGTCTTATATCGATTTCTGTGTTTTTTTTTTTGTAATCGTTTAATCATGTCAGTTACCTCCAAAGCTTGAATATTATTTCCTGAATAGAAAATCTAAATTTCCTTAACCTAATTCCAAAATAACGTTGTTCAAACTGTAACAATTTTTTTACCCAAAAAAAAAACTGTAACAAATTCTGAGATCTACAACTTTCATATTCCTTACGTTTTATGAGAAGTTTCATTTGACATTTTCACACAAATTAATAAAATAATTGAAATGCATTTAGTATTATTAATAATTCCATTTTGATCAATAGTATTTTAGATAAATAAATTTAAAAAATCAACACATTTTCAGTTAATATGTATAAATTGTATGTGACTCTTTTACAAAAAAAAAATTATGAAGTGACTCTTTTTGTGTAACAAAATATTGTAGTGATATTATTCATGAAACGGAGAAAGTACTCCTTTCATTGGAATTAATTATTTTTGACATGGAATAGGGTGATATGTTCATTATTGACTTAATATAACTTTGCAAAAACAAAAATGTATCCTCACTATATCCAGTTTTTTTGTGACACAAACGTTCAATCAAAAATTAAGCTCTGAAAAGGCTGGGTTCAATACAAGAAATTTAGATAGAAGGACTTGCTTTGCCATAGGGTCGACATCCTTGTTTTCTCCTCTTGGTATCCACCTGAGATTTTACATCAAATTTCAGGAATAAGGAGAGGATGTCTGCAACAATACCATAAATATACAATATGGTAATTGCATCAGTTCCAAAAAAAGATTGTAATTGCATGATAGATTCATGTATGAGTCATAAGC